TTTCTTCGTGTTAATGTCCCTGGATTCGTCTGGTGGCGATATGGAAGCCCACAGATTTCTCGCACAAAGCATCAAAGGCTTGTCCTTGACCTAAATCTGCAGGCGTAGTTTCGTGGTTTACCATTCCCGCTCCACGGTCATTTGTACGGGAGTTATTTCGCCACTCCTTCATTCTAACAACTTGGAGTTCCAGGCCTCACGTGCGCTACACGCGCGCGTTCTTTTAATTGTCAGTTGTGGTTGAGTGTGGGCGGGGAAAGCTTTTCTCCGGAACATGACCTGTTGGCAGAATGATTTTTTCCTAGACTTTTGAAGTGTTACGGGATGTTTGTCTGACACATGGAAATTACATGTAATGAAATCAATGGGTACAGTATGTAATGTGGAAGAGCAGAGGTCATACTTGATCTTTGGTAAGAACTACGCACCACAGGCCCTCGTGTCTTGGCGAGGATTAAAGATTAAAACCCCCGGCTCATCTCAAATTTTATACAATGTATATATTTTTAAATCTTTTATCCTCGCAAAGACACGAGGGCCTGTGGTCTTACTGGGGTTCCTTTTCAATTTAAATGGAAATATTTGTTTCTATCAAAATTATATATATTCAGAGACAAAGTGCTAGTCTACGCGATGCATAAAGACAGTAAGAAATGTTTGCCCCTCACGCAACCTGCCCCAGCCCCCACCCATCCACACCCCTCCACCATTCCTCCACCGCCCACATTACAAAACTGAGCGAACCGTTACTGTGAAAACAGTCGTGAGCAGCACGGTGTGGTTTGATAGCAAACGCGTCCTTGGAACTTATTTCCTGTCATCTGCCATGTGAAGCACTTCCTTCGGGGTCACCGCCAAGGTTAATAGGTCACAGTGACCTCACCGACAGGTGTTCTTCATCGTCGGCATCCTCCGCAATATAAAGACATATATTTTTCAGACATAAAAAACGAATGTTTATACAACGACATCGGGGAGCAGTATTAGAGGACACTGGCGTAAACGTTGACCTTGATTTACCAACTTACCAGTTCAATATTGAAAATCGGATAATGAGGAATTAACCATCAGCCTGGTTCCCTGGGTCTGTTGCGCAACAGACCCAGGGAACCAGGCTGAATTAACCATATGATCATGAGTTACCATACATTCACATCAAGAAGTCCCAACAACGCAATGAACGTTTTACGATCAAACACTTCTTTGACAGTTGTTTCTGGAAGTCCATATCAGCATCCACAGTGGTATCTGTATAACGTCAACAATGGTATCTGTAGACGGTCCCCAACGGTATTTATATTACGTCAACAATGATATCTGTATTACATCAACACAGGTGTCTGTATTACGTCATGAGTGGTGTCTGTACTACGTCAACAATATGATATGTATAATGTCCACAATGGTATATGTATAACGTCAACAATGTATCTGTATTACATCAACGCAGGTGTCTGTATTACGTCATGAGTGGTGCCTGTACTACGTCAACAATATGATATGTAAAATGTCCACAATGGTATCTGAATTACATCATCAATGGTATCTGCATTACATCAACACAGGTGTCCGTATTACGTCAACAATATCATATGTATAAGATCCACAATGGTATCTGTATTACGTCAACAATGGTATCTGTATTACGTCAACACAGGTGTCTGTATTACGTCATGAGTGGTGTCTGTACTACGTCAACAATATGATATGTATAACATCCACAATGGTATCTGTATTCCGTCAACAATGGTATCTGTATTACGTCAACACAGGTGTCTGTATTACGTCAACAATGGTATCTGTATTACATCAACACAGGTGTCTGTATTACGTCATGAGTGGTGGCTGTACTACGTCAACAATATGATATGTATAATGTCCACAATGGTACATGTATAACGTCAACAATATATCCGTATTACATCAACGCAGGTGTCTGTATTACGTCATGAGTGGTGCCTGTACTACGTCAACAATATGATATGTATAATGTCCACAATGGTATCTGTATTACATCATCAATGGTATCTGCATTACATCAACACAGGTGTCTGCATTACGTCATATCATATGCGTCAACAATGGTATCTGTATTACGTCAACAATATATTACGTCAACACAGGATATGTATAACATCCACAATGGTATCTGTATTACGTCAACAATGGTATCTGTATTACGTCAACAATATGATATGTATAATGTCCACAATGGTATCTGCATAACGTCAACAATATCATCTGTATAAGATCCACAATGGTATCTGTATTACGTCAACAATGGTATCTGTATTACGTCAACACGGGTGTCTGTATTACGTCATGAGTGGTGTATGTACTACGTCAACAATATGATATGTATAATGTCCACAATGGTATCTGTATTACGTCAACAATATGATATGTATAACATCCACAATGGTATCTGTATTACGTCAACAATGTATCTGTATGACGTCAACACAGGTGTTTGTATTACGTCAACAATATGGTATGTATAACATCCACAATGGTATCTGTATTACGTCAACAATATGGTTTGTATAACATCCACAATGGTATCTGTATTACGTCAACAATGTATCTGTATTACATCAACACAGGTGTCTGTATTACGTCAACAATGGTATCTGTATTACGTCAACAATGGCATCTGTATTACATCAACAATGGTATCTGTATTACGTCAACACAGGTGTCTGTATTACGTCGACGGTTATGTTTGAACTTCGTCAACAATGGTATCTGTATAACTTCATCAATGGTGTCTGTATTATATTTACGTCAGCAATGGTATATGTATTACGTCAACAAAAATGTCTGTATTACGTCGACGGTTTTATTACCCACGTGGTCAACGTATGGGTAGTTGCATACTAATCTCGTACGTCACACGTGTGTCGTATCGCGTTGACCTGTGTCGTAACGACTTGATCTGAGATTCTAACGATTTGATTGGATAACCGATGACCTCTCAGTTAGGTCACGTTGTGCGACGGAACTACTTTTTCATTCATAACAAACACGTCCCATTCATTCTACAACTTATATGCATTGTGGGAATGTAAATATTGCGAACGTTGCCGTATCGCTGTTTAGTTGTGAGTCGAAATGAGACATTATATGTTCGGTCGGTTACCAAGAGGGCAGACGAGCAAGGCGTAGTGACGTCATTACAGTGTGACGTCAAGCAAAAAGTGTACTACAGAACACCATTCTTCTGCAACCGCTTTATGAAACCGGTTTCGGTTTGAAACCATAAAAATAGAAAAATACGCTATTTTTTGCCAATTTATAGCATGTAAGATGTGGGTAATAAATAAAATACCACACTGGGTCTCATAACGACCTCGTCTAGTATTCTCTATATATTTGAGCTACGTCAACAACGGCATGTATTATGTCAATAATGGTATATGTGTTTCTCCAACAATAATGTCTGTATAACGACCGCCTCCGTGGTGTAGTGGTTAGAGCGTCCGCCCGGAGAGCGGAAGGTCGCGGGTTCGATCCCCGACCGCGTCATACCAAAAGACGTTAAAATATGGTACTTGTTGGTCCCTGCCTAGCGCTCGGCATTAATGGGTACAACAAGGACTGGTTGGCTCGGAGTCAGTATAATGTGTCTGAGTGGGGTATTCATGCTTCACTGCGGCATGGTATCTCAGTGGGCTAGCACTATAAAACCAGCTTCAGTCTGGGCTAGTACAAGTAGCCGCACATACACATACACACGCATGCACGTCGTCATATGAGCGAAATATTCTCAAGCACGACGTAAAACCCAATTTCACGTCACCTCACCTGTATAACGTCAATAAATGTATTTGACATATGCATACAATAAACAATACAATCCCATAACAAATCCTACTGGATAAGGGCGGTGGGGTAGCCTAGCTAGTGGTTAAAGCGTTGGCTCGTCACGCCGAAGACCCGGGTTCGAATCCCCACATGGGTACAATGTGTGAAGCCCATTTCTGGTGTCCCCCGCCGTGATGTTGCTGGAATATTGCTAAAAGCGGCGTAAAACCAAACTCAGTCAGTCAGTCCTACTGGACTTACCCATTTGGTTCAAGATAAGAGAGCTAAATCCATGTGCAGCACGTTATATTCTGATTCTACGAGTCCTGGTTGAAAAGCATAGTTACGACAATTTTGTTGATTTTATTGAAACATCAATATTTCCCTACTGTGTCAGGACACTCTTTTTTGTAAGTGAAACATAATTTTAAATTCTCATGACCTAACCCACTTCGTGCTGGTATAATCAGGTTATTTATTCATTTTCACAAACAAATGACCAATCTTTAAATGTACTGATATTTCCTTTTGCTTTTTATTGGCATGAACAGTTGTATATGCGATGGTTATAATACTCATGTTATCAGATTAGAAATAAAGAGTTGCCATACAGTTGCTATGCTCTTTCCTAAGGAAACAATGGCGTGACGTTACACTTAATCATAATGATGATTGATTGATTATTCATACATAACCACCAATGATTTCAGTGATGACGCCATTGACAAAAATGTATTTTTTGCCGTGTGGTTTCTGCCATGTCTCAAAGAAAAAGATATGTTTACAATATCTCATTTTGTGATTAATAACCTCAAAACCGCAAGGAATTCGTGATGAGTTTGCAACCTCAACTCATCGATGTCCTATAAATAGAATAATACGGGGAACCCATGGATTCCACTGTTTCCACCCACGCAGTTTGTTTCATTATTCAGATGGGGGGAATAGTAGCGCAAGCAACCCCTGACAACAAAAATGATATTTGCAATTGCTTCATGGAACATAACCAATATATTATCAAACATGGTTTATCTCATATTCTCGGTTCTCTTTAATCAGTATGTTGACAGTAATTGTTTTTATGCAACAAATTTAACCGCGTAAACAACAACCTATTCCCCCCTGCTTTGTAGATTCTTCCGGAGGTAGTCACATTATTTCAACCAATCAGAAGAGAGATGCATGGCTCTTGCGGTATCAATGTTGATTATGTTATGGCTGACGAAGTTAGTCACTCAGCTTGTGTATTCTCCTGATGTAAAGCGCTCTCGCTTGCTGATCACACATTATGGAGTTACCGGGTCTTTTGTCTGTGATATTTCTTCACGTTTTCATTCCAGTATGGGGTAAGTATATTGATTCAGAGTAGATTGTCGCGATTTTACGACATGCGAACATGTGTTCTGCCAAAAATATTCCCACAACGAATATTGGCGAGCGCATGCCTGTGAGCTCTGCCCTCGCTTTCTGTTAACGACGACATGCTGTTGACGGAGAGTAGAGAGGGAGACAAAGTTATCCTATCACATTGTCATATTATAACTGTAATTTTGTTAGAATCCGCTGAAAAGTTATCCTTTTGGTGTGGAAGGAAAATCAACAATGATGTAAAATAACCTAACGAGAAAACAAACGTAAACAAATCCAAAATATCAGACTGCGTGTTTTGAGAAGATGGGCGTGGCACGTTTTGCAGTGATATTACTATACCGACATTTACACCCCAAGTATGAACACATATATTACGTAAATTAAAAATACAATGATTAGTCTACCAAACCAAAATTGAAATATGATTGTGACGAAGTTGTCATTTGTGTAAAATACTGTTAAACTAACTATTACAAACTATAGAGAAAAAGAGGAATTTTGGTCTAGGATTTATATTCTTGTGTTTTAGTTTTGTTGGTGTCTCTATAGAATGGCCTACATATTAATATATACATTGTCATATATCGCTGTGTTCACCTAAAGTAAGTGTGTATTAGTGGTTCCTTAGAAAATCAGAGACGTCTTCAAGGCTTTCTCGAATTGATGTGATGTTTGACACCACACTGTTTTGCAGTCAGAAAGGTATATGTGTGTGTCATAGTGTGTGTCACACAGATTTGATAGAGGATTATTGAAAGTTGTGTTGCCTGCAGATCAAAGTGCATTCATCTCGGAAAGATTAGGAAGATGCAAGCCCGCTGTCAAATGTTGACGTAACCAGACACATCCAGTCACGATGCAACACTGGCTGATGTGGAGGACGTGTGTGTGTTATGACAGTAGTCTGCTGCTACGACGTGCTTGATTCAGAAAATTTGATATATAGCGTCAAGAATATTCTTCTTTTTGCTTTTACAACGGTATTGATCATCTAGTGTTGAGTTTCTAGCTGTTTTAATTGAAATAACTATGTGATTACCTAATTAGAAGTGATCTTCCTAATTTCACACACAGCCCTAATTAAAAAGACGGCACTTCATCAGGTGACAGAAGCTCTCAAGCATGCGGAAGAACCTATTGTTGCCAACATGAGCAACATCAGAGAAACACTGGCTTTGTGAGCTAAGAGTCAGCCATATTATGGTTATGGTAAAATGTTTTGATTAAGCAGCAATAAACATGGAGTGATGAGAAATCTTGTACATGACTACAGTGATCTAAATCTTACCCTTTACATTAGAGTTACAGCAAGGAAATTATGACTTTCATGTTGAAAGTCTGCTTGTGGTAATACTTCCATGATGATTCACAAGGGCCAAAGATTGACGTACTATACAATAACTTGAACACCCAAGGACCCTCATTCAGAAAATGTAGAAAATTAGCATCCAGAGGCAACTGTAAGACAAAAACAAGGTGGATGGGAGTGGGGGGGTCTTGAGGTTGCTGCTGTAATATTTGAATCTAGGGGCATTAGGCCTTACTTTCAAGGTTGACGAGCTGTAGAAGTATTATGTTTAAGCTGAACATCAAACCAGGACTCCAGCTTTTTTGTGGATAAGAAACAGCTACAGCACTAAGGGGAAACAGCTGTCTGTAACTTTTACCACTAGTCTAACTCAAGTCAAGTTTGTTTCGGGGTCTCTAAATCCACAGAGCATTTGTAATGTTACGAGCTGTCGTAACTATATAGATTATCATAGGCTTTTGATTGATGTAGTGCTACAAACACTTTAGGAATCGAGTACCTGGCTAGTAATAGGTTTCCATGTATGTTATTGACACTAAATGTATTAAAACAATGCGAACTGGCATGTTTTGGCAAATTTGACACTGTACCATGCACAGAGATCACAGTTGACCTTATCTGAACTGTAGATGAAAACTCAATGTTGGAAAGAATAGTCACTTCCCTCTTGCCGCCATATAGCTGGAATATTGCTGAGAGTGGCATAAAACTAAACTCACTCATGCACAAAGCAGCCCTTGCGTTATTGATTTAGGTCTTGGTTCAATTAATTGATAGGGATTAGAATTGTTGGAGGATGAAATAATATTTGTATGATCAATCTAAAAAGTAACATGTTTGTAAGACAGATTGATGTTCCCTAAGTAGTAGTAGACCGCGTCATACCAAAAGACGTTAAAATATGGTACTTGTTGGTCCCTGCCTGGCGTTCGGTATTAATGGGTACATCAAGGACTGGTCAGCTCGGAGTCAGTGTAATATGTCTGAGTGGGGTATTCATGCTTCACTGCGGCATGGTATCTCAGTGGGCTAGCACTATAAAACCAGCTTAAGTCTAGGCTAATACAAGCAGCCGCACATACACACGCATGAACGTCGTCATATGAGCGAAATATTCTCAAGAACAACGTTAAACCCAATTTCACCTCACCTCACCTTATGCTTGATTTAGCATATCTGAATTGTGTTGGGGGAAAGTCAGGATATAATATATATAATATAAAATGTTTAATTATGTCAATATCTTTTATCAAAGAAGGTAAACTCCAAGTGACACATCATATTCATATACAGTTTAGTATTGGTGTGTCTGAAGTCCACATTGATTTAGTCATAATATGACTGAAATATTGCTAATGTGACAAAATCTGAACTCACTCACTCACTCTCAAGTCCAAAGCCAAAGTCCACAAAACGGCCTGGTCAAAGTAGCAGTAAATCCAGGAAGATCAGATAATAATTTTAGAGATATATTCCAGTGTGCTGTTGTACAAAACAACCTTAGCGCTAAGACTACCTTAAGTCTATGTTAAAGGTATGGGAGTTACGGTCACCTTAAGCTAAGACTACCTTAAGTCTATGTTAAGTTTGTGGAGTTACTGTCATCTTGGCACTAAGATCGCTTTGTACAGCGACACCCAGTTCTTCATGGTCTGGCACCTGTTTCCAGTCCGAGTTTCAATGTAATAATTTGTGCCTTGTTTAAAACTGACACATTGTGTGATTGCCAAGGTAGTCATTAACTTGTATGGAGCTGTATAACATAAGATTTGGCAGGCAAACAACTTGGGTTTTCAGTCTGTTGGATGAAGAACACAAGTTTTGGCTACCACAGTAGTTCTCTCTTGGTCTTAACATTTTGGTATATGCCACTTAAAGAAATTTTGGTATAGTGTGTTAGTTGAGATCAAACTAATATTCAAAGTAAAACTGTTCAGTGATAATATCATGTGATGGTTAAATATAGCAGTTGTAAATGTGCTAGGGTTTGTCATGAAGTTGAACTGAAAAGTCGCATATGGGATCAGTTGGGATATTTTCACCCTTTAAGGGATTAAGGTGTTGCAAGTGACTGCTTGAGACACCATCATGCCGTGCCTCAGTTTGATTTATGAGTCCATTCTCCAGTAAATAATCTCAAGGTAAATCTCTCCCCTGTCACAGAGACAGGTCAATTTTACAGTCCAAGAGTTACGGCGCTTCGATCCCCTGAATACATGAGTGTACCATAATCTGGCGCCGGTCCAATTGGGCTTTCATATTCTGGCATCGGTGCCAGAATTGTCTATTTCCCAATACTTGACTCATCTCTAGTCACTGGTTCTAATAGTGGGCTCACTAATGTATTGACTCATGGTGCCTCCACTGTAACAGTCAGTGGTGTTGGGAAATACTACGCTTGTTTCCTAATTACCCCAATCAGCTAACTCAGAGGGTGCTCCTGGCTTTCTAATGTGTGCTGGAGTTATTTACATCTACTACAGTTGGTTATTCAGATGTTTAAGTTCTCATTTCCTCCAAGAATATGCGGCCCTAGTATTATTGATAGACTCATATAGCCTATGATTGCTATGTGTGTTTCTGACAGGTAAAAATGTGATGTAAGGATAATGGTTGCTTTTCTGCCAAAAACAATTTGTTGCTTTTTAAAGGTTTTGTGTGTATTTTCTTGTTTTAATGTATATTGTAGACTTGTCTTTCAATGGGGATGGTTGCGTGGGGTTTTGGATGGGTGGGTGCGGGGGAGGCTGGCTGGAAAGTAAAACCACGTGGTTAGATTTCTTGTGTCCTTTATGGCATGTTTGGTCAAGATGTGTTAGTGTAATATTTCATTTCTGATTGATGACTTCATAGTACATTAAATTCCAGACCAATTTCACTTCCCATTTCACCAAATCTTTTCATCAATATTCCAAGATGGAGTAGGCAACGGACTTGGTCACCATGTGCTTGAGGTAAATGACAAAAACCATGATGAAGTAGAGTTCAAATTATGTTTTGCAAACATGCAGATGAACATCTTTTTATCTATTTTTCCTAAAATCAGGTTTTTTTCACATGATATTTTGTGTCAGGACGACCGTGAAAATACAATGTTGACTCCCAGCTGAGTTTCTGTATTCCATCAAACATGCTGAAAACATGTCAAATTGTCATCCATCCTTTCAACCTTGTCCCAAATTATATTTGAGATACACGTAAGGCTTCTGGAAACACATCCAGCTTGTTAGCTCTGGGTGCTCTCCAGGCATAAGTACACACAGGTATTGATCAGTCCGACCCTTAGACTCGGTTCTGTCTCTCAGGCAGTTTGATGGATGTTTAAATGTTTTCAGCCCACTCGTACATGTCCAACTTGAGTTATTCAAGATTAGTTTGTAAGTCCTTGTCTAATGACATTCCCATGCTTGTCCATTTGGTGTTTGCCTGCTGTCATGAAGCTGTCTCAAACAAGTAAACCTGTGCTTAGCATGTCCTTTGGCCTATGTTAAGTTGAGTCCCAAATTTGAATTATTTGTTTTTGACTTTAACGCTCAGTAGAATGTCGGTCTGGTCCTCTAGTTCATCGATCGCATGAATAATTGGGCAGCTTCATTTCCAACAGGGGAAGTGATGACATATGTGATTATTGTGCAATCATAAAAATATATTTTTAAAAAAAAAAAA